CCCACCCTTGGGGCCACTTTTCAGGCCCACGAGGTGTGGAAGGGGCACAGAAAGAGAAAGGCATAGCCCCCAAACCCAGATGGGCCTTTACATGACCTGGGTGGAGCTTCCTGCTCAGGGCTACCCCTCTGGGCACCCACCACAGGGGTGAGCCCATGCTGCTGCTCCCACCTCAGCCCCCAGACCCCGCAGGACCCCACCCCAGGGTTAGCATGCAGGAAATGACTCTCGCTCACAGGAATGCTCTGGCTGCCCTGGGCTGGCCTCAGACCCGCGGGGGTGGGCTCTGGGAGCCAGATGGCGGCAGGAGTCCCAGGGAGCCCCTCCCCTGGGGTCCTCGCCAAGCCTCCTGCTGGCTCCCCAATCCCACAAAATCTGCCTGCACTTGGCTCTAAGGAGCAACTTCCCCCACAGCACAGACAGCTATTAAGGACATATTACTGCCAGATGTTTTGCTTTTTCCATGGAACTAGAGGCCTGCATGAGGTAACGGGAAGGATTAACCCATCCAGACCCACAGCCCACATCCGGGCCCAGCTCTCTGCTTGGTAGGTGTGCAGGAGGCTCTCCTGCCCAAAGGCCCTGAGGAGAGAAGGTCAGAGAAGGTACCCCTGCCCTTCCAGAGATGCCCTGCCAGTCCAGGGTGCCCTGCCCATCCTGGGTGCTGCAGCATGGCCCTCTGCATGTTAACAGATGCATGCAGGACTGTGCTCCCAGGGCTGGTGCTGCCTTGGTGGGGGGCTCTAGGAGGGGACAGAGCTGAGATTTCCCTGGGAAAGCAGAGTCCTCCAGCCCATGTAAGCACCTTTCTAGGTGCTCATCTAAATTAAGACCTTCCTTCCCAGGAAGAAGGGAAGTGCTCACGTAGATCTGCTCTCAAATGCAGCAAGGGGTTCTTCCCCCAAATGCCTCTGCCCCTCTCCTCAGCCCAGCCCATCCCAGCTTGTAGGGCTGCAAGAGCTGAGAGCCTGGCACAGGGAGGGAAAACCATCTGAGGTATCCTTGTCCTCCCTGTCATGGCCTTCTGAGTTCCTGGGCTTCCGGGTAAAGGCCTCTTGTCCCAGTGACATCACAATGTCATCTTTTTTGAGCATCTCTTTGAAATGATGGAGCTCAGGACCACAGCTTCTCAACAGAAAATACCATTCTCGGCCCCATGGACAACAGAATAAAATGGAATAAGGCCAATGCGTGTGGCCAGGGACCCCCAGACGGCCTCGTGGAGCTTCTCTGGGCTGGCAGGGATGGCTGTGTAACACACAATTACACTGAATAATTAGAGGAAGCAGCGAAGGGAGGGCTGTGCACACACTGGTCTTGAGAATAAGCCTTCCTTCCCCATAACCAGAGTGTGGGGTTTTCAGAGGTTCCCCCAAAAGAAACCAGGGCCCCTCCCATGCCTTGCTGTGGGGGGCCTCAGCTCGAGCTGGTTCCTGGGGAGCTGGCTGCTGCCTGCCTCAGGGCACACTCAGCCCAATCTCCCTGTGACATGGCCCTGCCAGACCCTGAGCCCTCTTGGGAATGGCCAGGGCATAGGCTCCTAGGCCACGAGACCAGAGGGAGGGTGGGCATCCATGCTGAGGGCTAGGACAGGAGTCCAGACATCATCCACTGCTCAGGCTGTGCCTGTGAGGGGCAGCCGCGTGCCCATCTGGCCTACTGCCACTTCCGACGTCCTGACGGTGAGGCCACCATGGAAACCACACATGTAACCCCTGGAAAACATTATCTTCCTTGATGAATCATGCTCTCAGTTGGCAGGAAAATGCATCCCACAGTTGAGGCAGTAAAAAGAAATAAAAACTGTCTTTGTTCACAGATGGTAAGGGAGTTTGGGTCTTTGGTGTTTATAATGAAGGCACTGCCCAGTGCCCACACCCTTGGGAAGGAGTCTGGATGTTCTGGAAACCCGCAGTGACTTGGGAGGGGGCTCCTCAGATGCCCTGTGTCACCATCTCTGGGCGTGGACCTGCCCCTGCCCACAGACTCAGTCCACCCCTGCCCCTCAAGGCTCATGGATATTTTCATTGAAAGATACACTTCTGGGATGGAAAATGCCAGGATGGCTTTCCTCCAAGCCTTCCCTGAGGGTGGAGGATGGGCTCACTGTCCAGACTGGAGTCCTGGCTGGACCAGAGTCCAGCAAGAGGAGCACCTGGAGATGCCTGGGATGTCCAGGGCTGTGGGCGTCTGGGTGCCTGTGTGCAGGCCCCAGGTGGCCCTCCAGCTTGGAGCGTCATCCCCCGTGTCCTGTGCGCTGCCTTCTTGTCCAGAAAGCCTATCAGGTGGCGCCCATGGAGGCTCATCCACATCCCAGATGCACTGAGGAGGTCAGGGAGGTGACTGGGGCATCCTTCAGGGTACTGAGGGCCCATCTGTGGCCAGCATCCTGGGTCCATCTCCAGGAGTCGCTCAGCAGCACGTGACTTAGGGCACGCTAACCCACCTCAGGGTCCTTGGCTAGACAAACAGGGGCAAGCTCCACCCACCTGCCCCATAGCTGAGTGAGTCCTGAACTGGGATGGGGGCAGTTGCATGTGGCCCTCCACGCATGGGGCCTCCCACGGACCACACACAAGGTCTACTGAGGCAGGGCCTGTCCACCCATGGGGCCTAACGTGGAGCCACCAGAGTGGGGAGAGTGGGGAGGAGGAGAAGGAATTTCTTTGTAAGACCCTGCCCTCAGAAGAGAGAAGAGTAGGGGAGAGGGGAGGGGCAGGCCTCCTGTCCAAGCTGATGGTCCCTAGGCTCTCAGTTTGGGCAGCACTAGACTCTCCCTTTGCTAATTTCAGTGTGGACAAAGGCAGCTTCTGCTGGGAAATTCTTTGTTTCCAAACTGCACCCATTGTCACAGTTTTCTGAAGCACTGACAGGGCGTGGATGATCTGCCCTTTGCAGCACTTACTTTCCAGGGCACCAGAGGAGTCAGCAGAGAACTGAAAAGAAAAGAAGGGCACTGCGGGGCTCCTCTCCAGGGGAACCCCAGGGCCCCCGCCCCTTCATAGGCCTGGTGCAGGGCTGGTCTGACCTCTGGCCTCTGGGATGCAAATCTGAAACGGCCCCACCCTCCCTACCTCTGAGCGATGGCCCTGTACCCCAAACCCACCTTCTCCTCCCTCCTCTAGGGCCTTGAGTGCTCCTAGCTGGGGACCTCACCTGCCTGGCCAGGCCCTGCCAGACTGTCCCTTACAAACCTGCAATAGCCCTGCTCCCCCCTAAAGACTCCTACAGCCCCTCCACCCCTGGAGATGTGACGGCACTCTAAGGGGATCAGATCACAGACATGTTTGAGCTCTAGCGGCCAGCAGACTGAGGAATATTGACACTGTTCTGCCTTGCCAGCCTCAAGCCCACTGCTTCTGCGGTGGAATGGGCCCACCATGTCACAGGCTTGGTAGCAGAGTTGATGACGTGCAGCAAACTGATGCATAAAGATGACTTCTGAAAGCAAGGAAACCAATTGGGCCCCTGCAAATATGTCCCTGATGATGGAGGGGCACCTTTCTTTCCATTTGATGGATGTGTCAGTGATCAGCTACACCTCTCATACACTTGCCATCTCATAGTCCTGGCGGAATCCTAAGAGATTCTCACTGTTCTGGTGTTTACACAAGTGTTCCTCTTTCTTTTCCCAAACCTGCAAGGACATCACAGTTGCCACTCTTTGCAGATAAAATAGCCCAGATTGGACAGGCAAGATGAACAGGTGAGTTTGAGCTGGACACCCAGGTGCCGGCAGCCATAGCACCAACAGGCAACACCAGGCCCAACACCGCTGTCTGGATGAACCAGCAGTAGGAAAATTTACCCACATACACACAGTCTGTGAGCAGATTCCATAAAGCAGGTGTGGGGATAACACTGGAGCAATCCTATAACACCCACTAAGGAATACTGGAATTACATATGATTTTTTAAGGTTTTCTCAAAAGTTTTCTTTTTTTTTTTTGAGACCCAGTCTCATTTTGTTGCCCTCAGTAGAGTTCTGTGGTGCCCTAGCTCACAACAAACTCAAACTCTTGTACTTAAGTGATTCTCTTGCTTCAGCCTCCCAAGTAGCTGGGACTACTCGCACCCACAGCCCCTGGCTATTTTCCTATGTTTAGTAGAGACAAAGTCTCGATGTTAAACTCAAGCAACTTGAACCCCTGAGCTCAAGCAATCCACCCACTTCGCCTCGGCCTCCCAGAGAAACTTTTCAAAATATGGTTACACACACACACACACACATATATCTGCATATACAATTTTTGTGTGTTTTAAATTATAAAACATTAGGCTGCTAATAGCATGTATCAACAGCTCTGGCTCTTCCGAAACCTTCTCTAGGGTAGGAATGGGTCTGGCGACCTCCCCAGGGCGCTGTCAGAGACCACCTTGCTCTCCCAACAATCATACTAAACAACACCACCTACAGTTGCTGCTGTTGGGAGCTTTGTTTCCCCATTATAAAAGCTGAAACACCTTTTGCAAGTACATATTTGATAAAACTATGAAGAAACAGTTACATGAAAAATAACCCAGAAATCAGACAAAATGATAAATCTGAAACACTTTAACAAATGGTATCCTCATTTGTAGAATGCGGGTACTTGGGGATAGGATAAACACTGCCAGTCAATTACACACGGAGGAGTTTGGATTGGAAATAACCAAAAAACGTCTCAAGGCAATTTGCTTTGGGTTACACTTTCTTTTTCAGACATTTTATGTACATTTGGCTGTAGTTTTGTTCTACTTAACATGAGAACTACAGTCCACTGTAAGCAAGTAGAAGTTTCTACAAACTGGTAGAAAAGTAGAATTCTTTAGCTGAACAGTGTCCTCAGCTGAGAGCTGCAGCAGAGAAGAATAACTTTGCCTTTCAGATGGTTCTGGAGGGAAAAGACCCCAAACCCAGTCAGTGACTCACTCGGCTCCTCCCTTCTCCCCCGCTGCCCCCCTCCCTGCCTTCCGCCCTGGGCTGTAACTCAGGCAGAAGACAGCCTGGCTCTCTGCACTCCAGCCCTCCTTGATGGTGACACACAGGCCAGGACATGAGACTGGCCTGTATTCTACTCCTCCTGCTGCTGCAGGCCTGCTGGGCAGCCGCACAGGACACCCCAGAGCCCTCCAGGGCCATCGCCTTCCAGGGTGAGTGGACTCTCTGCTTTTTGCTGCCAGGGACCTGGGACTAACAGGAGCCTTGGGGGGACCCATCTTGGCCCTAACTGTGATACTGCAGAGCAGGAGACTTGGTGGGACCAGTCCCAGCCCTGACCGTGAGACTACAGAGCAGGGGCCTTGGGGGGACCCGTCCTGGCCCTGAC